TGGACTCTGTGGATCAACATCAACAGTTAGATCTCAGTACGTCTGAATTGACTCTAACCGCTGTTACTAGGTGCTAGTTCCGTGCTGGTGCTAGTGCCAGTACTTAGTTGGTTCCAATCTAATACCGGTTGCTTTTCCATCAGCAAGGAGCCAAGTTAGAGCCACGCCATACATCACTGTATACGTAGCCGTTTACCGAACAACACTCGCGCCACACAGAAGTCCACACAGGACTCCAGATTAACTTTTTTTTATCAGTGCGACCAACTTTCTCATTTGGTTGCACTTCCCACTTTGTCACAGGCAAAACATATGACTTGCTGAACATTTTCATATTGATAGACCCTTCAATTTACCGATGTTCCTGCCCCACATTGCAGGCTGCGGTAGCTGCTGTTGGTGGCTGTGGTGCTCAGACCGGCAAGTGACCAATAATTACTTTAAAAAGAGTAAACCAGGGCATTCTAATGTCAGATTTGTCCAAGATGAAACCCAGTGATTTTATCTCATGCTGTCTTTCCATGAGCGGAATAAACAGCGCATGTAGCTGCGCTCTGTTTTTCATGAGAAGACCGTATTTCTAAGCTAAATACCGCAGTACACCGAAGGTATAGAAGTGCTGTTTTCCACCACTGTGGTGCTGCTGGTGGGACACAGTTGTACCAGATTTCAGAACACAACAGTTTGTGCAAAACTTCCGTGTCCCTGAAGTCATTTCAATTCATTTGCGATCGGACCAGAGGCGGTGGAAACACAAAGAACTGGTGCCAAGTCAGGCACTAGTACGGAACTAGAACTGGAACTGATTTGGTGGAAAAGGAGTGTGTGGTTGAAACACAAACAGAAACAGCAGCCAGTTACAGACTCTGTTCTTTCATCTCCACTCATTGTTCAGAGCTACAGTTTTACAAAACGAAATCTGTAGCAGAGTCCAATTGGATTCAAAGTAAAATATTTTTCTGAAGTCTAGAAGTTTCTGAAATTCAGTTGTATTTAGAACTCAGTTGTATTTGCAGAGAATTCAAAGCTGTCATAAGGAGAAAAGCAGCTTTAACTGCTCTGAGCTGTAAAATATCCACCGTGTCCACGTTGACCTTTGTTTATCACTCAACCTTGATTTTAACTTCAAGTGCACTGAGATTCATGTTGTGTCTCTTTGCATTCATGTTGTGTCTTTATAGTCATGTTGTGTGTCTTTGTGTTCATGTCGGATGGATGGATGGATGGATGGATGGATGGTTGGATGGATGGATGGATGGATGGATGGATGGATGGATAGTTACTTTATTGATCCTTTTACAGGAAATTACTTGTTACAGCAGCTACATTAAAAGAAAAACACAGAAAACCCCACAAGACATCCGACATTGTGGTCAGTATCTTACTTCTTTCCAGCAGAACGTCGTTGTTTTTTAAAGGTAACCATGTCAACCTTTGATCCATCACTCCTCATAGACACATTGCTGGGTTCTGGTTCTGGTTCTGGATGTTTTGGGTTCTGATGGATCCTGGTAGACAGAGAGGGAAACCAGGAGGGAGAGAAATTCACTGTTTATCATCCATCAGAAAAGAGGAATGAAGCTGGAAAACTCCTCACAGTGGACATAACATTAAACACAACATTAAAACCACAACAACACACAAAATAACTGCAAACGACACAGAACCTCTGCAAAGGTACAACAGACAATGTGATGTTTCTCTTTGTGTCCATGTTGCATCTCTTTGTGTTCATGTTGTGCGTCTTTGTGTTCATGTGTCTCTGTGAGGATGCACTACAGTGTCAGTATCTTACTTCTTTACAGCAGAACGCTGTCGTCTTTTAAAGGTAATCATGTCAACCTTTGATCCATCACTCCTCATAGACACACTGCTGGGTTCTGGTTCTGGTCCTGGGTTCTGATGGATCCTGGTAGACAGAGAGGAAAACCAGCAGCTCAGTAAGTGCAGTGTTGTTGATGTTGTGTCTCTGTACTGATGTTGTGCATGTTGTGTCTTTTTGTGTTCGTGTTGCATCTCTTGTGTTCATGTGTCTCTTTGTGTTCACGTATTTATTTGTGTTCATGTTGTGTGTCTCTGTGAGGATGCACAACAGCAGTGGTTCTCAAACTTTTTCTGTCAAGCCCCCCTTCAGAGGACAAAATTTTTTTTCGCGCCCCTCTTCGCCTTAAATAGTCATGAAATGAGCCAGTTTAATTTTACTGAAATTAAATATCATGAGCAGTCAAATAGTGCAGCGACAACTTGATCAGTGATCAGTAAAAGTCTCATCAGTCATTGTTGACACCATATCAAGAGCAGTGGGGAGCAGGAGGTCCTCAGCTGTTGGATGTGGTTTCTTGCGATTCTGTTCCAGAGCTCCAGACTAACTTTTCCAGTGATAGCGTGGTGCTACCAGCTTTCTTCATTGGTCGCACCAGCTAATGATCTGGTCACCCCACCCCCTTATACTGGTTCAGCACTGCCACAGATATTAAAGCAGCATGCAGCTGATGAATAGTTGTTTCTGCATAACTTAGTTATGTCGCAATGATTTTTAGTGATACAAGACTAGATATTTGTAAAACCTTTTAACCTGAAAATATATTTATTTTGTCACCAGTCCTCGTCTAATATCAGCCATTAACTGGACACAGGCTAAACAATTGTTGAAAATGCCCATGAGTAGATGATACATTTGACTGATGTTCCCTAAACGCCTCACATGCTGCTCCGGTAGATGCTACCAGGTGTCTGCAGTGCAGCTCCTCTGACAGGTGAGCGACCAAACATTTGTTGGAAAACAGTGGAAAGTGAGTTCTACACTAATTTGTCCAAGCTGAAAAGTTTTCTATTAACATGGTTTTTAGCAGGTTTTTTAATTTATTTATTTATTTATATTATTATTATTATTTATTTTTTTATGGACTGACTTTTCTACGAACGGAGCACATTTTAAATGCCCATACCACTGGCCATCATGTTTATAGAAAAACTGTGATCGCTGTTAAAATGTGATTTGGGGGGGGGAACGGGACCTGCATAGAGGATGGCTGTAATCCAGATTGTCCGGCAGGTCAGCATCATCTTTTTCATCACGTCTTTACTCGTCAATTGATAATGAACAGAGATTTCGTTACAATTTTGGTTGTCAATACTTCTTAAATTTACATTCTCGTCACATATTAGTCACGGAAAAATGTGTCGTCAACGAAAAGTTTTCATTTAGGTTTTCATTGACAAAATTAACACTGCCGGCATCGCACCACAACCCCCCAGGGGGGCGCGCCCCACTATTTGAGAAGCACTGCACTACAGTGTCAGTTTCTTACTTCTTTACAGCAGAACGTTGTCGTCTTTTAAAGGTAATCATGTCAACCTTTGATCCATCACTCCTCATAGACACACTGCTGGGTTCTGGTTCTGGCCCTGGTTCTGGATGTGGATGTTCTGGGTTCTGATAGATCCTGACAGACAGAGAGAAAAATCAGCAGCTCAGTAAGTGCAGCACAAACAAGCAGTTTCATTTTGTGTTCATGTTGTTTCTCTTTGTGTTCATGGTGTTTCTCTTTATTAGGGCCCAAGCACTGTCACATTGCGTAGGACCCTATTGGAATCCAATGAATTAATATTTTTACCTCAGAACAGTCACATTTTGTATCCTCAAAAACTCATGAAAATTTGCAGACACATCAGAACTGGCGATAAATTGATACTGTGATATTGTGAATGTGTGTCTCAAATTGCATAGGTTTGACAAGAGTCCATGTCTGAAGACTTTCACACTGTAAAACTGAGTAATAGTCATAGCGCCACCTATTTGTAACAGGCAGTTTGAGGCATTACATTTGCAGGCACCATTGTTACAAACTTTGTGATATCATCCTTGTAATTGTGCAGCGCTGTCTCCCCACCGTCACAATGCCACAGCGTGAAGCTTTTGCGTTTTCATGCAATGCCGTTGCCTTGGCAATGCATTTTCGCCATGACACGGGAAGGACTTTTTGAAAGCTTAGGAATGTTCAAAACCTCACCAAAATTGGCACACGCATCACTATCGGCTCAGCAACAAACATCTATGCCCGTCTGGCAAAATGGCTCTATAGCCCCGCCTACAACGATTTATCCATTAGCCCCCGCAGTACGTTTAACCTACAGTTATGAAATCTGGTAGGCATATGTAACATGTCGGGGCACATAAAAAAGCCTCTTGGACCCATAGCCTAAACCCAACAGGAAGTCCACCATTTTGAATTAAGTGTGCAATTTTTTGTGATTTTTGGTCATATTCAAAAGTGAACTCGCCCTACAGATTAACTCCTACAAGCCTCAAATTAGGCCAGCGCATACAACAGTTTAAAACTTATCAAAATGCTCTGAGGGTGTGGCAATGGCGGCCCTCTGAATTGTGATCATTCGCCATCAAAGAAGCATGTCTAACAACCCTGTACATGCTCCAATCAGACTCACAATTTACATACTTGATCACAGTCCTGCCCTGATGAAACCCATATGCCAATATCCACTCACAGTCACAGCATCACCTTCTGGCAATGGAAAAGGACACATTTTATACTTGCTATTATTAGCTGGTTGCCCATCCAGCCAT